GCTATTTTTAGACATTCAAAAATTGCTAGATTTGTTAGTAGAGTTTCTAGTATGTGGTACATTGATAGAATCTCCTGTTCTTCTGGTGGATATTACAAACTCGGATGCACAGCCATTTATTTGCTAGTATTAAGAATCTCTGATAATGCACAAAAAAATAAATAAGTAAAAACACATTTAGTAAATAATTATACACCTAAACAAGTGTTTTCAGGGAGAACCGGATTTTTTTTACACTCTTTCTTTGTACTGTTGTTTTGAAAGTCTGAAAATAAAAATCTGCAGAGATTTTTTTACTGTATTTTCTGAAAGTCTTCTCCAATAGGAATCTACTGTCCTTTTCTTAAACTGAGTGAAATCAGCGATAAAATTCCCACTGATCTTGCCCTGGACTTTGGATCAGGACACAGGCTTCACTAATCAGAGACACCCCCATTCAACCATCAGATTTAATGCTTTAGCGGATGTACCTGATGAGAAGCTGTCTGCAGGAAAGAAGTTTTATGAGTTGACTGTGTGCCTGTGTGCTAAAATCAGGCTTTACGGTATCTGTCTCAGTGTAACTATAGAGAGAGAGGCTGGTACAGAGAAGATCCTGTTGAAATATTTTAGACTTTACAGTAGGTCCTTTAGAATGAAATGCTGAACATAAGCATTAAAAGCCAATAGGAAATGGTCACATTTGGTATCATTGTGAGCTTTGCCTTTGTGGCTTTCGCTAAAATCTTCTGCATTGTATCAAAATAAGAAAGAAGGACTGAGAAGGGAGAAATAGCATAGAATAAGTAGGATGGAGTGACTGAGTAGGTGCTCCAAAGGCCACTTAAGTCAATGGCTATGTTTACAGGAGGATTTGGTTCATATTCTGTATTTCCCATCCAGAATCTGCACAAAAGGCAAAGGTGTAACTGTAATACCAATTTGCAGAGAAGAGTATGCTCTTTGTATTCTCATTTTAGCACATATTTACTAAAAGGGACTTACAGTACTGCTCTATTTCAAGAAGCACGTGGCAGGCTCCCATCCACAGCCTGTTGCTGCAATACACAAGATCTTTCTGTTTGACTATTTCAAAGAAAGGACGAAACATGTATGTATACACAGACATATATATAAGCATTTTTACATAAATGGAAAAATTACCACATCTGTATTTTGTTGCCTTCAATACTCCAGTTTCAGAGCCTTATCTGTTCTGTTCATTCCTATTTGTAATATTTTGGAACCTAATAACAGTGTTTTTTGGTGCACTGGAGATCAACAGCTGACTAGATCAGGACTGTGCACTTTAAGATCCAAAGACTGCCTTTAGACCTCTTAAAACTCAGTCTGTGGTACTATACTTCCTTAGCAAACATTTAAAGAAGAGAAGTACTAACCCTTCCATGTGCATACAGACACATATATTTAAGCATACATGCGCGTGCACACATACACAGAGTGAGAGAGATTAATGTAAGGTCTGATTACCTTTTAAACTAATGCCCCTTTACATCTCTCTAGCACTGTAAATAGTCCTTAAAAAGTGAAGATACATAATTTACATTCATTTTAAGACCATCTCAGTACTGATGAGAAGTGTAAAGGGCCTTAGAGTTAACAGAACCAGCACAATGGTACCCACTGCCATACTTCCTTTCCACATTATTTCAATTACAAATGGGATTCTTAATTACAGGTTGCATTCCGAAGAAAACATCATTACAAATATTAAATTGAAGAGAAGCAATGACTGACATATTGGAACAAGTACTTAAGGGTAGATTCTGATACAGCCAGACTGTGAGTGACAGACTCACACCCAAGCCATTGCTTCAACAACAGGGCTCAGCGCATTCAGTGCTTTAGCAATTATCTTTGATTATAAAACCAGCAGAGCTATTCTAACAGTTTGTCCATCGGTGCACAGAGCAGAGAAGCACAGGCAGCTGGAGGACCACCTTTTACCCATATACAATGCTTAGCACAATAAAGCCCAATTGTGTTTTTGAGCTGATAGTCTCAATTCAGAGAAGAAAGGAAAAATAACAGATATTAAGATAAATCAAATAGTAATTTCTACTTTATACATACTTTACTTCGCAGAAATTACAGCCTTTTATGTAGCATATATGCTTAGGAATCCAACTGGAAATGTATGGCTGTTTCTTGTCAGACTACAGGTCCATCTAGCCCAGCATCCTGCCTCCAGCTGTGACCCAGCTGCTTAGAGAAGAGTGTAAAAGCAGGGAGAGTGTACAGTGATGCTTTCCCAAAACACTCCCCTAATCCTGATCTTGTGTTTCAAGGACTTCATGCACAAAAGCTCAACAGCTCCTGACTGATTTTCTTTCCGTGAAGTCACTTTCAAGCATGTGTATATTTTTAGCAACATTACCTCCTGCTCAAAGCTTCATTACACTGTAGGTAAAATACGTTTGTTTTGAACCTGCTACTGCTACTTACACTTCATGCCCCCTAGTTCTTGTACTGGGAGGAATGACAAGCAGAGGTTTCCTGCTCACCTTACAAGATGCTCTACTTCCAATGATTATCCTGCAATAGATTGTGGTAATGTACTGTATTTTAATAGAACACCTGTGACACTGCATTTGTCACAGTGAGAGGGTGGGTTTTGTAATAATCCTATTCTTAGGGTCTTGTAGCTTCAAAGCTGAAACTTGCTTTTTGTATTCTACAATAAAAAGGACATAGCCATGTTTAGAGGGGAGCTTACATCAAGGGTAACTAATAAAAAACAATGTCTTCTCCTAAGTGTCTAGTTTTAAGCTATCTGAAGTTAGCTTTCTTTATGTATCTGATTGTTTTGATAGAAAGCTGTTAACTTTTTGGTGTCTCTTGGCAAGTTAGGACATATATTTTTGTATGTCTAGCTCATTCTATTTTCAGTATCTCTTTTTTTAATTATTTATAAATGGAAAAATGAGTTACGTTTCTTTTTCAGACACAAGCCATACCATATACCATATTGCATTCTACTTGTCTTGAATACGAAACAGGCTTGAACAGTTAGTCATTTCCAGTGTCTGTCAACTAGATACAAGTTCAGTAAAATGAGCCATTTTAAACTTTCAGGACTGCCATTTTCAAGTAGCAAGAAAATGAATTCACTCTGTGCTGCTACCCAGCAACTTGTCTGGAATAAATCTATTTAATAAGGATTTACAGAGCTCTGGAAAATAAAGCAACAAGTCTGTGACTGCATTCATGCTCTTTGAACTCAGACAACATATTGTGAATTCAGTATAAATGTAACCTGAATTTTTAAAATCTGATGAAGGTGTGTTTTGTTCTCTTGTCTTTTTTTTTTTTTAATGTCTCACTCCCCTTTTCTCTTCCATCTCCTACCCTCTACCGTGTCTATTGTATCTTGATGTCTCTGATGGTCAGGCTCTGAGTGGTCTTTTATCACATTCGGTTCACTTGATTGCCTAAAAGCCTCTCACACTTGCAGAGGATTTTCTTTTCTCCCTGTGCTTTTTCTCTCACTGTGCTCTCTCTCTCGCTCATCCCTGCTTCAGTCTATTCCAGTTAATGTTGATCTCCAGTTTCTCATCATTCCCCACTCCTTTCAGAAGACAGTGGGATTGTCAAATACGTATCTGAGAAGTCATGCCTTAGGCTAAAACATATCTATCCAAGCTATGAGTGCTATAGTTAAAAAATAGCGAATGGAATGGTATCTCCTGTGGTCATTTTATCAACAGACTAAATAGAAATACTGCAAGTCTCAACATTGATTGCCAATTACATCTTAACTGCTAATGTGTACACAATACTCACTTTGCTTTATTCATTTTTATATAAACAATGCATATGTTAGAATTCTTTTTTCTTGAAGATAACACAAAATGCTACAGGTTACTTATTTATTTCCTTTCAGACTATGTAGCCAAAATTGATACTTGGTCTAGAAATATCCAGAGACCACATCATTGCAGAATCATAAAATAGTTTGGGTTGGGACCTTAAAAGTCATCCAGTTCCAACCCCCCTGACAGGGACAAGGACAACTTCCACTAGAGCAGGTTGCTCCAAGCCCCTGTGTCCAACCTGGCCTTGAACACTGCCAGGGATGGGGCAGCCACAGCTTCTCTGGGCACCCTGTGCCAGCGCCTCAACACCCTCACAGTGAAGAACTTCTTCCTAATGACTAATGTAAATCTTCCCTCTTTCAGTTTAAAGCCATTCCCCCTTGTCCTATCCCTACATGCCCTTGTAAGCAAGGAGTTCATATAAATCTGTGTATAAACATCTCAGTTAACAGTTTTTACTTTGAAATTATATGTACTAAGGCATACACACACATAAGAACATCTGTACATAAACATCCCTGATTTCAACCATTTTCAAATGATTTGCTTTGTCTGAATAGTTCTGATTGCAATTTTTATGCAGATACACATAAATGCTGCTGTGTTTGATTAGGGGCAGTGCAGAAAAAACCTGCAGTCTCACAGCCTATATGCACCTTGAAATATTAACTCATCCTGTAGTTTGCAGCATGGCAAAACCTCGTAGACCTAAATCCAGCAGTCTTGATATTTTCATTTCTTCTTCATTATTTGTGCATTAGTATCTACTAGCCAAAACTGACTTCACTATCTGCAGAACACACACAAGAAACAAGCCCTTCCCCTGGAAAGTTTTAGGTCTAAGGGTGAGATTTGTGAAACTGCCTAATGGAATTAAAAGCTCAAATCCTCACTTTTAGTTTGCGATGTTAGATTTCATGGGTATTTTTAAAGGCAAAGTGGACCAAAAAAAAAGGGAACAAAAACCAGGGGAAAGGCAGGATTAATATCACAGTTTTCCAGGTGAGGAACTGAGGCACAGAGGGATTACACGATTTGCAGTGTTACTCCTGGAATCTGAGCACTGACCTCAATTCTTCTGAGTCCCTCTTCACTACCTGCACCACCAACTCTCCAAGCCTTCACGTAGCCTGTGCCTTGTATGAACCACCCTTTAAATTGTCAAGCCCTACACATCCCACTTACATTCTCACTGTTAACATCTGCCTCACTGGGGCAGCCAAAGAGTTCCCGTCTCAGCAAATTCCCATCATATTCCAGGAATGTCAGGTAGAGGTTGCGGAAGAACTCCACGTGCTTGTTTTTCACTCGCAGCTTCTTTGGTGAGTTCCAGTGAATCACCTCAGAGGGGAAAAAAGAGAAAACACATCCTGCTGTTAGAATGCAGATTTGCTTTATCTCCTCTTTTTATGTGTGTTCAGTTTGCTGCCCTCTTAAAAACAAAATAAACAACCCCAAAACTACACAGATTTTCTTCTGTCTTTTTAACAGGCAGGCTTTCCCACATCCTCCACAAGTAACTGCAGCTCTACAGGTGGTGTGCTTTGAAACTCCTCCACAGGATTCCCTGAACATTTGAGTTAGGGTGCTGCTCTAGTTTGTGATGCAGCACCTCACAAATACTGCCACAGCTCTAATCAGGGGGCTGATAGGTTATGGACTCTGTTGAAGAAGGTAGAAGGACGTGGGACACAGGGATGTGGGTATTAAACATTAATCTCACATTTCCACATGACTGTCTCGGCTAATGAAATTGATCCACTGTTTCAGGCCAGGCAGACTCTTCTTTGGTTAGGTATTGAGAAGAAAAAGATTGAAATTAATTCCTGTACCCATTCACACCCTCCAAAAATGACTGAATTTAATTTGACTTCCATTTTGCCATTCTTTTAAACAAGACTGATTTCAGTTGTGTTACACAACACAGTGATGCAGTACAATGCTTCATCCTTTGAATTCCAATTTCTAGCACGTATTTAGCCTCTGCTAATGAGAGATGACTTTCGCACTGGCCTAGATTTAACTCTAATGCTGACATAAAGGGCCTGATTCTCATTTACATCAAGGCGACTTCGCACTGCTGCCAATGTGAACGAGAATGGGGCCCCAAGGAAAAATAAGAGGGAGCCACAAGTGGCTTGCAGGAATGATTTCATTTTATAGAGGCTGTATTTTAGGCATAAGAAAAAAACCCACCAAACGCTTTGTATTCAATTTTATTCCTGTGACTTCTAAAGAGATTAAAAACAAAAAGTCTCCTTTGGGAATACTTCCAAGGTAGGACTTCTGGAGGTTCTCTGAATCCATTAAGTTAATTGCATGAAGGCACAATGTCACTCACACACAGCCACAGAGCTGCAATGCCAGCTGCCGAGCCAGGCCGAGCTGGTTGCGTGGTGAGTTTTGCTCTGAACATTGCATTTGTGGGAAGGAATGCATAGAGCTGAAGTGCAGCACATAGTACAGAAGCAGCCCAAAGCAGACGAATGCAGTTCCCTTGGTGTCAGCAACACAGCTCCACAGGAACAGGGAGCCCTCTGAAATCACACTATCTGTTGCTGAATGAGTGGACTGGAGGAGGAAAAAGCAGGGCACAGCCTGAATTCTTCCTGTACTAACTTGAGCAAACAGTCTCTCTGCTGAGTGTATATACTTCCATAAAAGCTATGGCACTCTCTTCTATGTACCTAACACCAATGAAAGTATCTCCTGATAGGGAAAGCTTTATCCCTTCCTGGGATTTCACTGCTGAGGCTACTAGGATGTGAGAAAACCATATATGCAGTTAAAGAAAAGTAACTGTAAGGAAAGAAGAAAAAAACATTTCAGAAATTGGCAAATCACTTTTTCCAGTTATAGGAACACTTTAAATCAAGATCACGATGCATCTACACACTGTATAAATCTGAGAAACTGCTTGGACAAAAATACTCAGTGTAGATATTTTTTCCCAGGTAATGCTGGATTCTTTGCCGGTTTTACATTTGTCCATATGTTCGGAAGTGTAACTTATCTGTGCAATAACATGTTGCTGCTAAAAATACAGAACATCGCAGAAACAGAAAGCGCTTTGGGGAGGTTAGGACATAAACTTAATATGACAGATTTCATCCACTGAAAAATGGATCTCCAAAACCTTATTTCTTTGAAAAGAACTTGACATTTAATCCATTGCATTTAACTGCAGCAAAAGGTATTAAATGCATGCAAAAAAATTTCAGTGATTGAATCCTACCTCAGGGAAACAGGCACACGTAATAGAAGCATAGGGTTGAAGGAACCTAAAGGGCTGATTAACAGTTTTGCAGGGTACTAGTATGCATTTTTACAAGCAGGCATAGAATGGAAACTGTTTGCTGGTAACTTGCACTTATTTAAGAGTGGACCAAAGAAATCTGAGAAGCTGGCAAGTGGGACAAAAAATACTCGCTGAGAAAAATCTTCTTTGTGTTCTCCATACTACTCCTATATTTCATGTGGGTTTCCTGTCAGATGGCTTCACAAGCCACCTCCCTGGTGAGCACTTTGACCTCTCACCCTGGGGACCATGAGCACAGAGATGGCTAATGATGATAAACTCAGTAACTGCCATGGGACAGGCTTCCCAGCGCTGTAGAAATTTCCCATCAACATACACTATGTCACATCACAGCCAAGTACTGGTGTTGATGCCTCTACCCAGTTGTATGGGGGATGTGAAAGCCAGGCAACTGCAGTTGGCAGCGTAGAGGCTTTTTGCTGCTGTGCTTCAAAATGTGTTGTGTGTGTAAAAGCTGGTAAGTGTCGAAGGCCTAGCTGGTGGTTCACATCTGATCAGATCTGAAATGTGTCAGGATGCTGCATGTGTACAGATGTCAGTGGAGCCTGGAGTGAACTCAAGAAAGCTGAATGGAGCTGATGACTATCCATAAAAGCTGTTTTCTTAGTCAAGAAAGACAGCACATGTGAATGTGTGCTTAAGATGATGTGCTAAAGAACATCAAGGAACTATGCAACCATCTGGATGACCTAAGGTAAGAAAACCACAAAACAGGTCTAGTGAAAGGCAGGCTGCTTTTCAAATGTAACATGATTAGATAAATATTATTTGATATCTGAAAGCATAAGAAAGAACAGCAGGTTTCAAAACACAACAACACTCTTAACCATTGACATAGAACAGCACATCCAAAGACCGTATTCTTATTTTACTGTCAGCCCACAAACTCACTTTCAGTTCTGACTGTAGCTGTCTGATTTGGTCTGTTGCACATCAGCTATAGCAGAAGTTGTACAGGCCAAGACATCCTTGTATGTACATCGTGTCATGGGCATCAGTGAAGTACATGATAAAGACAACGGGCTGCACAGGTAAAACTATGGCCATTACATTAGAAAGTTTATTGCAGGCAACAATGATTTGACTGGAGGAAAAAAAATCAATTAGAGACTACAGAGAAATGAGAAGCGAAAAAGCTCTCAAACTTAGAATCCATTTTATTTGCAGACTGTGCAACTGTTACCTCAACATGAAAAAGAGAAAGTGAATCTAGAAGCTAAAACTCTTATTACTACATCCCCTTTCCAAGACCGAATAGCACCACAATACTTTGTGTATTTCTTCTTCTATTTTCTCTCCTAGTTTCTAAGCTATCCCAAAGCTCTGTTAGCTTACAGAGGGTACTGCAGCTAGAACACCCAAAATTCCAGTGCCATTATCTGGTGGACACCTCAGGAACAGTGCTAAACTTCAGGCTGTTCAACAGATCCTTTCCACTCCTGATCAAGGCCTCCTGAGAACTAAGAAAAATACTCTCCTTAATCTTCATTTAGCAATTTAAGATCAGAACTTAAAAATCCACATCTATTTAACACTTGGTTAGTTGCCATTAAGCAACTTGGCACTATCTACATTTCTGTTAATACCATCCTAGTTAATCAGCAACTGTTACCATTCACTGATTACACTCAGCCAGCCTCCTGAAATACTGCCATACGCTTACGACCTAGTGAAACAGGCTAACTGCACCAGTAGTTGCCATTTATTCATGAGCTTCTGACCCAAAGCACTCAAATGACGACACAGCTGCAGATGGAAGGTAACAGAAGATGTTATATGCTGGTGGAGTATAGGACAGGGCTCTATGGTCATTGATACTCATGAAAATACACTGAAGACAAAAATCCCAGCAAACCTCCTTAGGTTACCATCCTCATTGCCCTCTCTGGGGAGATTGAATATTTTTAATCTGATGTTCAAACCACTAAATGTTAAGCTTCAACACAACATTATTTCTACAGGTACTTCCATCCATTTTTCCCCTAAAGCATCTTCTCTCTCCGTGAGTATTTGGCCAAATGTTTCCTTAACAACAACCTCTTCCATTTTTTTACTTAAAGACACGTCTTGATAATTTCTTACTCTGCTTCAGCCCTTATAATATCAGAGAGTACAGGATATCCTGTACACATACTTTTCAGGCTGAAAAGGTAAAAAGTAAGATAAATTCAGCTTATATTTAAGTCTAAAGTTTAATTTCACAAAGCACTGAAGAGATATTCTTAATTAAGCCCATGAGCACTTCACAGATCAGGTAAGTAGAAGTGGTATTTTGTAGAGGGGGAGCTTTTCTGCTTAAAAACTAGTCTACTTGTTTAGGCAACCAGACAGTTCCCACTGAGACCAACAGGAGTTAAGTGTTCAGCAAATCTGCACAGTAAAGCCACGTAATACATGGCACTTTAATGCCATCTCAACAGGCTTTTCTTCAGGCTCGTATTACTGGAAAGTTTAAATATGCCTCAAGACACACCATACAAGCACCCTGTGTGCAACTTATGCCTCAATTAGAGATGTCTGGAAATTTTATTTTTAAACTGTGTATTGTCAGAAATATATGGTTTAATAAAAGAACCAATTTTCTCAGAAAGGATCAAACACTTCACAAAAATGTCATCAGGGAAGTTTCAGAGTGATATTTCTGAACTACATAAGCGGAAGGGGCTCACAGTGGAGTAGCCAGCAACTCAGAGCCATGCACTGCTGCTGGATGTGGGAGTCAAATCCCTGCCCTGCCTGTTTTCGTACCCATGGCCACAGGTATTGCTTTACTCCCCAGCTTACTGCCTGTGCTGTATGGCGGTAAGGGGATAGACTGTCCCTGTCTTGTCCTTTCAAAGTTCTCAGTTTTTCCTCAAAAGGATTTGAAGCTCTCCCTTCAACTCCTGTACCAATGTCTAATGAGAGGCCTCCTGTCTGCAAAAACACCTCCTAAAAACACCTCTATAATACCATAGTGCTCCCTTTTTGGGGGAGTGAAAGCACCTTACTGACTCTGATGTTCACTTAAGGGAGGGGTATGTTTAACCCTCTTGAGTCCTTTCTCCACTCAGTGTAGCTTTTCCTTGGTTGGCACTGAAAGGTGCAAGAAGGCAACAGGTGATGTTTGAGGCAGATATGAAAATGAAGTATTTGGGTTATGGGCAAGAAGCTGTCTAAACTTTAGCAAGCAATCTTACAAAGCATAGAAGACATTCCCAGGCAGGACACAGTGAATCACATAATATAATTTTCGAATGGAGAATTTATGAGGTTAATTATATATCTGCTAATTTAGTGTCAGCTGTATTCAAAGCTAGTTTGAAAAACTATCAACAGGTTTTCAAGCATTTTTTTACTTTGAAGCTGAGGGGTAAAGTCTAATAATTTGACATATTCCCACTGAAAAAATCAGCATCTGATTTTTGTGATTGTGAATTACCAGATTTTCTGTGTGTAAATAGCTTCTGTATCCTTGACAACCAGACTTCTCTTCAAGACTGACTCATTCAATGAGGTCATGATTCATTGTCAGAGGCATCACAATTCATTACCTTCTTTCATAGGATTTTTCTTGCCATTTGGTTTGTGCCAAATCATAGTAATTGAGATTCCCTCACAGACAGGAACAAACTATTAACCAAAAAGGAAAGCAAACACAGGGCCCAACCCAGCAAGAGTAATGCATAAATGAACCTCAGTTCCAGGCAGATCCCTACAGGCTCTGAAGCCCAGCAAGGTATGGTCCTACAGGACAGAAGCTTGCCCATTGACAAGCTACTGGGGACCATGTGAAGAGCTGAGATAAGCAAGACAGACAGTGGATGCCTACACAGAATGACTATTAGCACTTCTGTATCTTTTGGCCTGTCATCAATAACAACTCTTGAGTGTTTCTCCAAGGTGTAACAAATGACACACAAAACCAAACACCTCTGGCCTTTAGAGACTGCAGTTGGCTCACTTGGCAGAAAGAATTAAAGGGCATCTGCTTCCTCTTAGCCTACTCTTTGTTTTCTATTATAATTACTCATTTCAAGACATTCTTGACTGATGCAAACCATCCTTATTACAGGTGCCTTTGGGGTGGGAAAAGGAAGTGTAAATGTTTATGTAAGGTTTGGTTCCATACACCATGGACAGCAGAACAAAGCTCATAGACTTCCATCTAGTTGTGTATGGTGTGGCATCTAGCACTACAGAGTATGACACAGGAAGTAAGTAAGCATTTAGATGAATAAAAATAGCAAAATACTCTTATTTTGATGTTGCTTTAGATAGATATAAAATTAATGGTCACTAAAAATGCAGAACTTACTTAAAAGTATTTCTATTCTTATGCCTTTTCTAAAAGACCCCAATATGCAGGTTCTTCCACATTTGTTTTTACTGCTGTAGCAAGGAAGAAGAGTTCAACAGTAGTCAAACATCTGACTCCTAGCATAAAACAGTACAAAAAAAACCCCTTTTTTGCCCCCAACAAAATGGATAGATATGGAACGTAATGAGCGTTACAAAGAGAAAAACGTGATTAGAATCTTCAAGCAATATGAAACATCCAAGTGCTCCACAGGCCTGCAAAAAGTATGCTTGCTGTCCTGTGTTTGCATGAATGTGACCAAAGCAGCAAAGAAGTGTGTATATATAGCCCCTGCCACCTGAACAGCAGTTAGCCCTGGGGGTCCAAGTTTATTTGACACAATGTTGTAGGTAAGAGATGACAAATTCTCAAGTCCCATGGACTTTGAAGCTGGATGGAATGAAATCAATGCCTTTTTGCTCTGACTTGAGGAAAGCAGTTCAATTTGACTGAGGAATACTTAACTGGGCCAGCTTTACCTTGGAATTTAAGTTTGTCCCTGCATTTCCCTCTTTCCTATGGTATTCTTCTTAACCCTCCAGTACAAACTTCAGAGTCTGTCTTTCTCTCCCTCTTGCATGAGAGGTTTCTTTTACCTTGTTTCCCATTCCAGTCTTACCATGAAATACAGGATGTGCCACATATGTTGTGTCATACCATTTATATTAAATGCCATGGAACTGACTAATTTTGGTGATTTTTTAGGAGTAAATTTTCTAACTTGGGCTTACGACATCTGTTGATTTTTTGAGAGGATAACATACCAAACCAGACGGTTTCTTTTCAGAACTAGAATTTTGCTCATTTCCTTAATGCAAATCACAGCTTTAATTGGTTTATACGTTTTTTAATTGCATGAAGAATTTTAAACAGTGCTGCCTGAGGGCTAGTTCTTTAACTGCCGAATATGGGAAGAGCTTTACTGAAACCAGGGGGCTAATGTGCACTAGATGATAAGGCTCTGGCCTCTCTTTCAAAGCAAAGAGTTTCAGCCTTGATTCAGTATTTAGGGGATCATTTTAACAGTGTGATTAAGTCCAGTTCAGCTGAAGAAATTGCTTATGTATTTTCACCCCTTGTTGAGTAAAATATTTCAGACCAGAAAGCCAGTGGAGGATATTGTGCATCTTAGGCTTCATTGCCTATTCTGTAATAGAACTGACAGTGTGATACTATATACTAGAATAAACAACAAGCCTAAGTTATACCTGTAAACATAAATTTGTTAATTGACAGTGAAGAAAAGATTCAATTTTAAGATACTTCAATTAAATAATTAATTATAGATGTTACATATAAGCAAGATGACCCACACTTGAAGCAGATAAGTCAACACAGTCATTGGAGCCTAAAGAGTTATTTGCCTGATTAATTGTCAGTTGTCTACTCTGAGGTGAGCTTAACCAGTCTCCAAAACCATTCACGGGGATCACAATTGAGCTGCCTAAATATAGGTGTATAGTAACACTGGAAGCATGTTAGTGTTATCCTGCTGGCCCATCAACTGCCTTGCCAAAAGGGTATAGTCTCCTGTAGGTCTCTGTTGTATCTGCCAGCCCCATATAGATATCCAAGAGTATCTACGGTGACTCTAATTGTGTTTAGGCAATTGAACCAAGCCCTAGATCCTCAGTTATTAGCTTCAATATATTTTATCATGTAAATGTATGTGTCTTAACCTTGTGTTGAATCCAATCTGACTGTCTCAGTGGATCATATGAATTAACGTCAGCCTGTACGTCACAAATACTTCGATATCTCCCAGGTAGGAGGTGTATTTTATCTAAAATTTACCTTTTAGAAAACATTTTCCCTGCTACCGCATCTCTTCTTCTGTTTCAGGCCTTACAATCATTGTCATGAATGATTCTCAACACGAGCACAGAACTAAATCTCTACCAATACTTTGTTACAAGTCATAAAATGATGATGCTTTTCAGTCCCTGTGTTGAGCCTGCCCTACAACTATCAATTATAAAACATTTAGTTATTAATGTACTGATCAGTATACTGATCCAACTTTAAAAGCTGCCTTTTATGGACCACACTTGAACAGTTAGTCGTAAATATTTTATATATGAAATTCAAGCAATACTGGTCAGCTTTGACATGTCAGTTAACCCATGTAGTAGATCTTCTGTTTTTTTGGGAATGCAGGTTTTGAAATCGGTGATTGATTTTCAGTATTCATCCAGTACCTGGTGTTCATACTGAATACTCTTGCTGTCACTCTACAGATTGTTAGCAGGGAAAATTTGATTAGATTTAGGAAATATATTGCACCAGGAGGGTGGTCAAAGTCTGGGACAGGGGGTTAGGAAGGTTGTGGAATCTGAGTCTTTGGTGACTTGACACTCAACTGCACAAGGTGCTGAACAACCTGATCTAAAGAGTGTGTTGCTTTGAGTGGGGTTTGCACGGTCTCCAGAGGTCTCTTGCAACCTTTTCTATGGTTCTGTGGTTTTCTTTTTTCTTTTTTTTTCTTTTTTAACCTCACTTATGGAAGTATTCTTTTAACATTAATTAAGTATATGAATCTTAACTGAATTTTAAAATGGATCACCAAAAACTTTAGGTAGTTCTGTTGCCACTAGTCTGCTCTGATGGAACCTACTGCTGTTTAGCCAGCCAGAAGCTTCCACCAGCTTCTACACCTGGTAGAAGCTCAATCAGCTTCAATTCTGAACTCTCTGCATGCTACATTTGAGTCTGGCCTTTCAAAATGACCACAGAACAATTGATGTTAATTTACCCATACTGTTCGAATCCATCCTGCTTTTATATTCTACTTGACAATAGTAAAAAATGTGCTATTAAACTGATAGTATAGCTTCATTTTATTAAATGAATAAGTTTCTATTCAGGCTTTTTTCTGGGGCAAATCCTGGAAAAATGAGTGGCAGTGTGGCTGGGTTAAGTGTATGCAGAAGCTAAATTTGAAGTGTGCAAGGTCTTTAAATTTTGGCTAATGTATTTCTAGCTAGGGTCTGCCCAACTCTCTTTGTGAATTTCACTCTATTAAATGATGTTGACTAAAGAGTTTTAAAATTGTCCAGTACAAAAAAAAAAAGGTTTCATATTCTTTGGATAGGAAGAACTAATAACAGGGACAGCAAGAGGAACTCAGCAGTAAGGTGCAGTGGCATAGGTGACAGGTATAGAAAGTAAAAAGGTGAAGCACTACTCTAACTTCTTGCCAAACCCCAAAGCAGCATCCATCTTTGAGTTTCTAACAGTCAGAATGCACAAAGCCAAAGTCACATTTGCTTCCCCTGCTTGGTTGTCCTCAAACTCCCACTGAAAGTACATCATCTTTCTGTCACAGCAGACTCCTGCATTCTCTATCCCAAAGGATATCACCCATCCAAACTCCTGTGAAACATACCTTCAGGTCAGACACATCTCTGTAGCACTGCTCAGAACGGGTGTGATCAGACAGCTGTACATTCCAGAAACATGGGAGCTGGTAGACAAGGAAGGGATTTTGTTTGATGACTGCATTGAAGATATCCTAGCAGACAAAACCAGAGAAACAGTTGGGTACATTGCTTCTATAATGAGGTGATCTCAACCCCTCCCTGAGCCTGAGCTGGCTGTCGTTCTCCTCCTCACAGGTAGAGATGCAACTGGTTATGCGAGCTGAACTCTGCAAACCTTGCTTTGTCATTCTGTTTTCATAGAGGGTGCTGTCAATGTAAGGGGTGATGTATAGGTCTGAACAAGAGGAAACAGGCTCCCTTGACCCACAGAGCTAACGGACTCCAGCAAAGTTTTCAAAACACGTTGTCTTGTACTCCTGGAAAAAGATGTGGTTCCTGTTCTAGTCACCAGGGAGAGTAACAAGCAGTAAATGACAAACTGCCTGTTGTTAGTAAGTACTGCATCACTTTTCAATAAAGGAGATGAAAGTAATCCTGGCAGTTGTGCCGCTTCGAGGTGAATTACTATGTGGGATTTTAGCTAGCATTTTATTGTTGCTATAAGTATTCTAGGTATTTCATGGAAAGGGCATGTAGGACAGATCTGCAGAACAGCCTACACCATAAAGGCACAGAATGTGTTCTACCTTTCTGCAGCCATCCAGTTGGAAAACTAAGTTACAAGGACAGTTTTGTGGTTAAGGTATTAGGTAAGACATTAGCAACCTTGGTCAACTCTGCAAACTTCTGCCCCATGCAGGTAATAGCAACTCATGACCTGACTGAAAACACAGCGAAGTTCTAAGAATCATTTTAATGAACTTCAGTAGCTTTTGGATCAACCTGCAAAGATAAGTACACAAGTGCACAAGTCTATGTGCACAGTAAGCAGCATGCTTCCTCAGTGGTGACTAGTCGTAGAATCATAGAATCAACTAGTTTGGAAAAGACCTTTAAGATCATCAAGTCCAACCTTTACCCCAGGACTCATAAGCCAGCTGTAGCTCAGAAGCAGTAGAAATAGCTTAACTATAATGCTGAATTGAGTTAGTACACTCAAGTTGTTGAGCAAAACTTATTTGTTCAGGTTAAGTAATACATAAACAGGGTTTCTGGATTTAAAATTTAGAGCTGGCAGGAAGCACAAAGAGAGAAAATATGCATTTCTGTGTACAGGCACACAACTTCTCTTGGCCTCAGTTTCCCATCTGGGGCAGGGAGAAAGGCAGCGCTTTTGTCTTCAAGGGGGTATTGTGGCAAGGAGTACATTAAAAGACTGCTGGGACTCATCTGCCAGAAACAGTAAAGAAATATCTGGAGGCTTTTAAAACTAAAGCCTGCTTAGACAATAACCAGTAGGAAAAGACACAGTATATTTGGACTTCTAGTGTCTGGAGAGTTTTATGTTCAAGAAAGGAGGACAGAAAATTAAAGCTTGAAAACACCGTTTGTCTATCTTGTGAATCATCTGTGCAGAGGAAGTAAAAATGTCAGTGCAGTAAGAAAACCTCATGAGTAAACTTCGATTCCTCTCTTGCACCTTTTCCCCAGGACGACTCAACAAATGATGACTACACGCACAAGGTCTTTCCCCCACCTTTTCCAACATCCTATCCTCTTCACCTTTCCTCATCTAATGTAATGTCCTACTCACCTGGTCAGCCAGTGAAGTGGACAGCATGCTCATTAACTCCCGCTCTGCTGTGAGTCTCCACATCTGCTCCCATTTCATCTTCCGTAACTTATCGAGAAGCAGCAAGATAACCCCTGAAGGAAAACACAGCGCAGAGAACAAGAGAAGCCATGATGCCACATGCCAGACTGGGCCCACCCTGTCCATGTGCTGAATCAGCAGGTAAAACAAGGACATGAGCTAATATCTGTCAGTGGAAACTGCAGTTCTTACCCCATGCTATCAGAGGGGATTGACTAAAAAAAAGCTTCAGATTTCAAGAGGCCGTAAGAGAAAGTTTTCCTGAACCCCTGAGGCTGTAGAGAAGAAATGGTGAGACAGCATACAGGTAAATGTTAAGTTATACATGCTTGCAAGAAGGCTGAAGTAGCTAAAGAGGAGTGAAACTGGGAAAAAGAGAGACAAGAGAAGGATGTTGTATTTCTAGTAGTCTCCGTAATTGATACAGCTTGATTTCATTATGACATGGTTAGCATTGGGATTATTCCTTAGAAAATGAACCAATAGAGGTGATTCACATGATGTGGTTAACTCCATCCAAAGGTCATTATCATTCCAAAGAGAGTTAGACAATACCCTACAAGAAAGAAAGCAGCACCCTTTTAACACTCAGAAGTGACCCTCCCCACTCCTTCCTCCTAAAAGCTACAGGCTCTGAAAGGACACTCTTGTCATGTCGCTGTCTGCTCAGGGAAGGGTAGAGACAATCCTGATTTATCTCACATGACTCCATTTCTGCCATCTTCACATAGAAAAGAGATCTGATTCTTCCAAAATGCCATCGTTTAAATGAATTTCTGTGTGGCCTATAATCAAGATCACGATGAGACAAAGAAATTTTTTTTCACTGATACAAAACATTTTACTCAATGTGTGTGGAGTGAAATCTGGCCCTTAATACTTAACTGCATCAGATGCAATACATGCACTGTCTAAGATGAAACTGCAGCCTATGCACCACCCAGTAAGGAAGTTTACTGACACATCTAACCCTTTAAACTTTTCTGAGTAACAGATTATCAACGCAGGTTACAACCTTTGCGAGAGCCCACCAGTAAGGCAGCAAGTGTTCATAGAGCAGAATCCTCAGATAAGAAAGTTACACTACAAGTGGGAAAAGAGCTATCTCAACACGCATTATTCCTCTGTTGCTTTTTGCCTGGACAAAATCCCTAGTGTAGAACAAGGGGAAACAGCAGAAGCAATGAGCTGGATTGAAGCATCAGCAAAACCTTTCCTCCAGTGTGTCAGAAATTTTTACATGAAAAATTAATTTGGGAAGACTTAGATAAGAGCACTGTCATTGGGAATGAAGGCAGACTGAAGGACCATAAAGGAAGAGTACTGATAAACAGCAGCCTAGGAAGTTGACAGGAAGTACCTAGTAAGAGCAAAGTCTGTTGTTTCACATCTTCATTAGAGAAAGGGAGAAATGAATAGAATAGTAACAACATCTGCAAGTGACATTAAACAAGAGGTCTTACAAAAAAAATATCATGGCAACTGTAAAGAAACATAACAGCTACACAGGAGAATACGAAATGACAAAAAGCAGGCATTAGGGAAAACTGCCTGAGGGAGTCTAAGATGGTAAAACTAAAAGTTATGAGAATAAGAAAGGAAATGTAATCTGAATACTTTAGAAAAATTCTCCTAAAGCGGTTGTGGTGAAATAACCTAAAAATGGCAGATTAAATGCTTTATTTCATGAGTCTTTAAAAATCAGGCTACACATAGGTAAGAAAGTATACCTGGAACAATCCTCCACTGGTAGGAAGAGAGCAAAGGTGGTTCCAGTTCATTCCTATCTTCAGTTTCTGACACGGCAAATTTCTTTCTAGTAAAACCTGGCACTGCCATGAATAAAAAGAAAACCTCTTCTGGCAGTGAATTTTGTGGCCTATTTTAGTTCTGTTTTCCATTTCAGTCCATCTGGTTCCCAAGGATGCTGGAACCTGTACTGGAGGGATCCCCTTTCATCTTCAGTCAACCTTTCTGCTTCCAGCTGTTGGATTGGAAAGGGACGTATTGTCACAACATGCTACAACTTATTTCTGCAAGTGTGTTTGTCTTCTCTCCAGCATAACTGAAGCCTATTTGGAGTGTGTAGTGTGTGTGCATTAGCTTCCCAGAGAGCCATTGTGCATTGTCTGAAATTCAACAACAATGTGAAGCAGGTTCCCAGTGCTACAGCAATAAACTGGGGGGGATAACTTCTCTGGCAGTGGATTTTCTCCAGCTGGCAAGAACTGTCAGCTTTGTTTCAATAGTGAAATGCAACAGAGAAGATTTTTTATTAAGAAAAATAAAAAATAATTGTACGATTTGGTTAACTGTAATGTAATAGTTTTTACAATTTATAGACAATAAAACATTTTTTCTTAATTTCTTTAAGCCTCCAGTCTGAGGAAGAGAAGGAAAAATATTTTAAAATGTGCATTATTCTTCAATTTATTTGTCTCCACTCTTATGCTAGCAGGAGATTATTGCATTGCAGCTAAAGAGATTATGCTGTCCTGAGGGGCTATCGTGGTAGCAGCTGAGAAAAAAAGAGGCAGATGTGGTGGAAAAACTGGAATAGATGTGAGAAAGGATGTATTAAATTATGATGCAATAATGGCTATTGAAAATATTCACAGGCTTTTAATGTTGCATTGTCAAGACTAATTTTGATGTGATTTCTATTTTAATTCATCAACAGGCTTGGGTTTAACACCTTTGTGCAGCCTGTGTTCAGGGCTTCTCACACTGTGGAATTCTAATGTACTGCTGCTGTAAAAATAACTACTGGAAAATATTTATAGCAAGATTAAATATTTACTCATTAGAATTAGTGAAAATAAGAGATTTCTACTAAGAGGAGAATTTAACACTATTCACCTAATTAGTGTTATTTAGTGCAAAAGCAAAGCAAAACCATGTGCGTTGGGCATTCAGTTAATGCAAAGGAAAAATCACATTTCTTCAGCACAGAGCACGTCAGTTATTCTTCTATATTGTTCTCTTACCAAAAGCAAATATAAAAATGAAGTTATTCCAATCTGCACAATTAGTTTGCAGGCAAAATGTCTGAAATAAGGGAAATATTTGCCTCAGGAGCCCCTTCCCTTGGAATGAAATTGACTGAAACCTCAGACTAAATTTAAGATGACATACAGCTGAATGTAACAGGAAAAGGGACTTACTCTCAGCTGCTGCGCTGGGGGAGGAAGAGACTGGAGAAAAAATAAAAAATCAAAGGAATATTTTATGAACATCTGGCCCCAGGCAGTGGGACTTCTCATCTTTTGATGAGTGCAGCATTGTCCTGCCCTAACCTACCTAAGAAAAACAAAGGGAAAGCTTGGCAGCAAATAAACAAAAAGAGAAAAGTGGCAACCCGAATGTCTCATGAGTACTAAACAAATAATGATCAGCCATAGAATACTCTGTTTTTGTCACCTTGAGGAAATAGTTCAGGCATATACAGAGATGCGAATACCTCAAAGAGGTCTTGGGAAAATAATGCTTTATTACTAAACCTGTGGAACACGTCCTAGTCTAGTTTTCATTCGAATGCCATTTTCTCCCCCTGCTTGATGAGACTTTACTTGAACTGACAAAATCTGACAGATTCTGGATTGATCAAACAAACAAATAAGAAAGCAAACAACAAAGGAGTTTCTCAATTGTGTAATTTCAGGACACACACACAAAAGCCCAGCCCAAAAGGAAAACAAACAAAACAAGGAATTTGGTGAATATATTGGAGAAAACAGGGCGAGAAACCGGAATTAACATTTTTGGACTAAAATGGTTCAGCTGTGAATACTTTATTTTGGCATACTTTAAAAAACAACTTATTCTAAAATAGTATTTTTCACTCCAAAATAGATACAAGTTATAAATCTTATTGAAAATGTTTACAACACCTGAAAAGGAAAATACATTTTGATTCTGTGTCTAACAAAACTCTGGGGTTCACCTAAATGTTTTTGTCCTTTTCCCATTTTTTGATTCAATCCAAATAATTTTTTTTGGTTTTCCAATGTTTTGACTAAGCAATTGTTTCACTACAAAATACTTATTTTTTCTGAATAGTAATTGAAAGTTTACAGAAACATCAGCAATTTCCCTTGGAATGCTACCAAGCATCCCATCTCTTGCTTCAGGAACACAGACCATAGCTTTTCCTGGAATTCAGAGATGAATATATAGCAGAGCTGGAAGTAATAAACAACATTTTAAGACAGAATAGAATCACTTACAGAAGTTACAGTGAAACTGGACAAGCTTTCAAACTCCATCAATTTATTACAATGGCCCTTTTAGGATGGCTTGAAAAAATGCTCAGTGCTGTGATGGAAAGAAGTATAGCTACTAAGAGATCATTTTCTATAAGCACTACCTTTCCTTTTTCTTTCAGGTGGAACAGAACGCTTCTGTGAGCTGTTGAGGCAATGCCATACTATGTGAGCAGCATCTCAGAGCCAATCCTTGTCAGATCTTTAAAAACTGTTCTCTAAACTATGTCTGTAACAGTGAATCATCTAGACAGATAGCAAGTAGATACCATTACAGTATCTGAGAAAGACAGGCAAGACACACTCCAAAATATATTACAAAGCAATAGTGAGTTTTAAAAAGATTACTGGGATTTTACAATACCTAACCAGCATACCAAAGACCATGCACCAAAACACTGAGTCTTAGATGCTGTTAGAAATAATGTTATATAGAGCTGACATTATGGAGATTTGCTGCAATAAATAAGTGATGTAGAGATTTAAGGCAGTACAAACAACAGTAAGCTACTATGTTTTGTGAAACAGATTTGGCACCAAAAGGTTGAGTTCAGTTTTAAGCACTATGGAAGGGGCTTGTAGCTTTGCTATCCCAGGAGAAGTGCCATGGTAGTAATGACCACTTAGTGCCCTAACAAAAATTTATTATTATTTAAACTCCAATTTACTGTACCTGAAATTAACAGAAGTGGTCACAGTGTGCAATGCTAGCAATGCAACTATGCCTCTGCTGCATCAGGGCCCAAATTACCAGTATTGCTAAGGACTACATCTGGAATCTGCTAGCCCAC